TATTTCCTGTAGGTGATGAGACGCAAATAAAAACGGAAGAACATTTTTTAAAAACATGTTGTTCGCCAAGGGCAGAGGGCGGATCTGCGGCTTGTGGTGAAGGTGTTAATACGAGTCCTATTCTTGTACTAATAGACACCTGAACACGACTTTGACTTCAAATTTCCTTGAAATTCCTGCGCAGTTCGCCTTATTGTTATTACCCTTCGAGCAGAACGGTGTTTAGACGACGACGACGACAGATTGTACGGCATGCAGTCTGAATGACGCTCAGAAACAGGAGGCGGCGGTTGATAAGGAGACCCCGGCACTCGTGGGATTGAAGCCCGTGATAAGCGCTCTGAGCTGATGTGGGATGACTTTATCACACAGGCCCTGCTGGGGGTGCCGTGGCCGATGCCGAGGCTCAGGGTGCAACGAGGGGCAGGGTGGAGGGTCGGGCATGGCGGACCGGAGCTCAACCGGCTATGTAGGGTGGGGCTGAGACCCCCGCGGCCAGGAGGGCAAAGCACTAAAACGTGGCAACTGTGTGGAATGGTTTTGATGTCCTCGTTTTAGAACACTTGCTTTGCTTTTTGCATGGTTTCCAAAATGCAAAGAAAAGAACGGGCGCGTTACCCACTCAACGGCCCACCTGAACCTGAAACGGTTTAGCAAAGCAACCAAGCCGGAAATTGACCTGAAATTCCAAGGGAAATGGAGGATAACAGGAGAACCAGAGTCCACAATCCATGATAAGGCCACTCACTGCTCTCGGCTTTCGAGCCGGCGTTTTCATATTATTGCATTTTTACTTTGGTGTTGTTTTGAGTACACGCCCTTGGACAGGGGCGACACTGATAAGCAAAAAAGGAAAATGGTAACCACGATAGAGGAACTGAAAAAGGAACTCAAAGCTCAAGTTTGCTCCAAGGTTTATTTTATTTTTTACGAAAAACAATTAATTCTGCTTGCATGCTCAAATGTTAGCCAATTCATCACCTTTGCTGTACTTTAAAGTCTGCACTTTATGAACGTCAAGGTTTCACCGGGACCACCAGGAGGCCCCAGACCAGCTAGATTTTCTTATGGGCCACATTTTAAGAACTCTTGGTCACGGCACAACACACACAGCCAGAACAAGACCAGCACAAAGCCTCCATATTCAACTTCAACAATAGCAGATCCGGCTCAGTAAACCGGTGAACAGAATGGCGCTCGTTAATTAAATCCCAGCTTATAAAGTGGCGCTTGGGGAAAGGATGCAGGGGAGGAGGGAGGAGGGGGGGGGGGTGATGGGCGGATAAAACAGGTTTCAACTTGCGACGATGGCAAACAGCCCCGATTGACTCGTTCTGTCAGCCTCTAGCGGTGCACTAAGCAGCGCGGTGCTCTATCCTAATAGATACGCCATTGATTGTGTGTCAGAGGTTAGAGAAGGTCTCTTCCTGCTCCGAATACACACAGTTAACCTCGAAAATGTGCTCACTCTATCGAGATGGGGGAAACGATCAAGGGAGTGGGCGCTAGATGACAGGAATTAGGGGCAAGTATAAAAAAAAAAAAAAAAAAAAAAAAAAAACAACTGGAGGACCCACGGCATTGTCCCGTATGTCAAACTCTCTTAGCAAATATTCCCGAAGGAACAGTCTCTATCTAAAGGCGTCCTCCAATTGTTGGCCTCTACCCCGGGGAAAGGCGCAAAAAACAAAAAAAAAACAAAAACAAGCAGAAAATAGTGGCGACACAAAGGCAAATGAGTAGCAGTACGCACGGCATTGCGCCGCCGCGGCCCGCTGTGCTTGTCGACAATGGCCTGGAAAATCTATGAAACAAATTTCAAAATCAGCACCCGGGGAGGGTTTTGCTTTGATTAAACAATTGAGAATCAATATCAAGTCTTTGGATCGTGTGAGAAAAAAAAAAACACCCCAAAAAACAAAATCCCTTCCGCCTTATGCTCTGCTAACTTACAGCATTCCGCTCTTCCCAACATTGCCGCCTGTTAAATGGGCGGTCTTCTCCTGCCAAGTGAAAATGGAGCAATTTGAAGCTGCGTGTTGGCTGGCAGGCTGTAAAGATAAATAAAATAAAGAGGAAAAAAAAAAAAAAACACCATAGCAGGTGTCACCTCAGGGAGATGAACAACCAGAAATGCAGGGGAGAAGGGGGAAGGGGTGTTCCAAAGGGGGATACGGGGCTGTCAATCTACCACAATGACCTTGAGGCACGACATACATGTCAGCAACAAAATGGGTGCGCGTGGATGGGCGTCTGCTGGGGTGGGGTCTGCTTTCCTCCCTTTCATAGTCGCAGCTGTGGAGGCACGCACGAAAAAAATTGGGCAAGCGAGGTAGGGGAATTCACGCAGCTGTCGGTCGAGCATACATCAGAAACACACTTTCTGAAAAAGTATCTTTATGATTCAGCTGGAAGTGGTTAATTGGTTGGTGCTTGATATATATCAAAAAAAAAAAATGTTTCACCATTTCCCTTACATCAGAGCCTTGGCTTGTGAGCGAGGCCCCGAATGTCACACCAAGACGGCAAGGCCCTCAACGACCGGGACAAGAAAAGCAAACAGCCCCAAACGTTTCGGCCTCCTCGACACTGGGGTGACTTTCATCGCGTGCACTCGCAATTTCTGGCGCTGGGGTAATATTTGGCCTGGTGCTGTGGAAACCCCTCGTAAAACTCAACACAACTCAAGCGGGGTGGAAGTGAAGCTTGGGAGTCGCAAATGTGGTGTCATTTATTTCTTGAACAAGGTTGAGGAATTTTTTTTTTTATGCATCCAGCATGTTCCACTCTGTAAAACTCATACACAGTTTCAGGAAATAGTACAAACAAACCTAAAATGTTGAATCAAAGTTGTATGCTTAGCTGCTTTACTCCCGGTAGACACCAAGAGAGATTCAGCTTGTTCATGGTACTTTTGCCAGATGACAGGTTATGCTCTTTGAGCCACAGTGGGAACAACAGTGCACCATGCACAGACAACTCTCTGTTGTTATATTCGCCAACAAGAAACAGTATTGATTATTTGTGATGCATTAATAAAATGGTCAAAGTGTAGCATATAGTTCCTGATTTGAGTCAAAGCATTTGGGGCCAAAATCTTCAGCGTCATACGAAAGCCAGATGGTGAAATTGATCAAATCCAATTCAATTTAACAAGACTTATATGGGAGTTTTTCGCCACTTGCCTAAATTTGATTGGTTCACCGTTTGATTCTCGCTCATTGGTCACAAATTACACAGCATCTTCTATCCATTCTGCATACTGCTTTTCCTGTTGTGTGTCACTGGGAGCTGCAGCCTGTCCCAGCTGACTTCGCAACCGGACTGATCGCCTGTCGATAAAACCCGCAGTGAGTCAGACAGCCATTCATGCTGCCCGCACGGGAGGCTAGTGAGTACACCACTCCTCCACCAGTGACTAAAAAGCATGCAATTGTATGTATTATACACTCTTCTGTGAACATTTAAGAAGCACAGTGATAACTCAGACTAATGTATAATGTATATGTATACTAATATTTACTCTTTAGGTTTGAGAGTATAGAAAGGTTTTTAATTGAGAATGTCTTGTTCAAGAGGGTCGAGGCCAATTCAAAGTTTTCCCTGATGTTGGGTTGCAAAGACAACTACATTATACACTCTCAACAAAGATCAGCCTTGTTTCATTGTGCAACAACGTACTCTGGCAGTTTTCCAGCACGTCCGCTTCTATAACTTTGGCTTATCATCCATCTTTCAGGGAGACGAGAAATCTGCGCGAACCGGTTTAGCTGCCGCATACTCGGGCGCCTACGCAACTCGGGCAACGCCAAAACTAGGAAAATAAGGTGCGTTATTTCCGCACACGGTGGTGTAAAAACGCAAATACAAAAACAAAAAAAAAAAAAACAGGAAGGCAGTTTTGTGTACTTCTATCGTGTGAAAATGTAAAGCGGTTTTCGTTCCAAGTGTCACCGTCCGGCGTTGTGCTTCACTCACGCGGGGGCTGTGGCGCTCTCTAGTGTCCCCTGCTCGGTTACATAAAACCCGCGTCGCTCTGCCTCTCACACCGGCTTAAGGTTGTTGATACTACCGACATCGAGGGGTCAATAATCCTCTGTTATGTGCGAAAATGGAAGAAAATATACCACAATTGGCCAAGGTAGCAGGCAGGCATGTTTTAGTGCGAGATACAAAATATCGACGTTCGGGTTTTTTTTTTTTTTTTTGACGACCGACGCAGCTAAATGGAGGAAATAAAAGCAGAAGTAAAACCTTGCTCGGTTTCATTTGAAGTCGTAGCTGGAGGACGAATGAGGGTGGAGAGACGACGGAGAAGTTATGGAGGCTTTCCAAGCCTCGACTGGCCATTGTTTGGGCAAGACGCACACAACATTCCTCCGCGGTTTGAGCTCGCCCGCTGGGCAACAACTCTCATAAGGTTCCAAACAACCCTAAAAACAAAAATCACGCACTTTACACGTCTCCGTGTGGTCGAATGTCTATTCACTGGCGTTTTCTAGCGCGTTTTATGAAATAAAATAAAAAATAAAAAAACTAGCTAAGTTTGAGTCGAGTGTCGTGGCTAGCTTGAAAATGTGGCTAGTAACCCCCCCGGAGCTAAAACAACTGGAACATGTGGAACCAGGGCCCCGGCTCGATGAACACTACGAGCCCCCAAAGTGGACCAAAGTTCACATTAAAGGCACCCTGGGGGTTGTTGAATCGCAAGGGTGGTGTGTTGTTTACAAGTGTTTTGAACCAAGAGTGAGAGAAAGTTTTGCTTTAGTCATAAAGTCAACAGTACTAATCTCAGCCACTCAGATAACACTCGGCACTCGCCACGCTTTACAACGTGTTGCAGTACTGGTATATTAAAATAAAACAACAACAATAAAGAAGCGGGAGGAGATGGTTTGTATGAGGGCTGATTTATGTACGTTTAAGCAGCCGAAACAGTGCGAACGCGGGACGTCGTTTCCCAGCCACCCCGGTAGCACCATCACCACGCCGCCACTTACCTTCATCGAGAAGCCGCTCAAGGTGCGTGAAGATGCCGCAGAGATTGGGCAAACTGGTCATGAGCTTCTTCTCGTTCAACAATTGCATCAAATAGTCGGGACTCGGCCTCGGTCGCTCCTTCACTTCGACCTCTCCGACCATCATCTTTGCGGCGAGGAGAGCGGAACACGAAGCACCGCCGAGCACAGAATCCTTCTTTTCGGGAGTGGGTGAGGGGGTGAAAGGAAGAAAAGAGAGAAAGGGGGAAGAAAAAAAAACTTGCGGCTCCCGATCCCTCGCTTTTCCTCCGCTCCTCGTGTGAACAATACTCTGGAATGCCCCCCGTTTCCCGAATTGTTGCAGGCTCGCTGTGTTAGTGCTGTTTGAGCGGTGGCGGAGGACAAAAAAAAACAGACAGCGTTATTCCCTTCCGCTCGTGGAGATGGTGTGCGCTCGGGGACGTTCGATTCCTCCACTGTAAGCGCGAGGGACTGTTCCGCCGGAACAGGGCCGTCCTTCCTCGCCGGCGATTGGAGGGTGTACTTTCATTGGTCTAATGGGACAACCAATGAGCGCCCGGAGCTCAGGCCGTTAGAGGCGGGGCTGACTCGTGGCGACAAATGATTGATAGGAACGAGGACCAATCGCGCGTGCGGCGCAGGAATGCACGTCAACCTCCTGAAGGGTCAACAGAATATTATCCAGGGTTGGCCAAAACTTAGTCACGTATACTCTTAAAATGTTTTGGTACATTTACACTTATTTATTACAGTAATTTTTATTTAACACTGTTGTAATATGGTAGAAATCTGAAAATATCCCCCTTTTAACATTGCAAACTTTTCCACAAAGTCTGCAACACACAGCACCGCAGTATTTCCCATCAGGTTTCAAGTTAGATTATTCTAGCCTTGGTTAGGGGTTTCTTGCCAGAGTTGTAGTTTCAAGGTCAACTTGTAGCCTGAGTAACGATTTGGAGTTCCAGTTTCAAATAATGGTTACATAGGTAGGTAGCGAGCTTTTAGTGTCAATCCACAATATGTGTGAAACATAGAAAATCATCTTCTCAAGTCATATATATACTCTTTGTAGTTTGAAGTGACGAGAGATGAAAGGGAAATTTGAAGTCTCCTTTTACCAGTTGATCATTGATGTCACAATAATAGGATGATGGCACTCATGTTTTCTCAAAGGAATGTTTGAACGTAAACAAGCAACCGGAGCATCCGTTGGCGAGTAACATACATACCGAAAGAATAGTTCAATTCTCCACTTTCTGGTTTCAAAGCAAGTGCCGGTTTTTCGTGAAAGGTCAAAGAAGGGCTACAAGATAGGATTAGGGTTTCAAAATACAGTTTTCAGGTTTCAAGCTAGGGTTAGCCTGGGTTAGGGTTCGTAGTTAGGATTTCAAATAATGGAATTCAGGTTTCAATCTAGGCTGTAAATGCTAATTGTTAGGATTTTAAGTTCCAGTGTGGGGTTGGGTTCATATTGGCCTTTTTAAGTGTCAGTGAACCTCTTCCTTCCTGCTTTTCTGTCTTCCAAAATCATTTAAAAAATGAATACATGTACCTGTTTTTGGCCCGCCTTGTAGTTCTCTGCACTTTCTTGCCCATTCATGGAAAACAGAGTTTTATTCGCCTCGGTGTTTCACAAAGACATGTTTAAAAACAATTTTGGCAACATAGCTACTGTTAATCATTCTCAGTGTTATAAAACAATTAAGACATGTTATCTATCATTTGTTATCCCATGCTTCTTATGGTATCTTATCACTTCGGTAGGAAACATGCCAAGGAAACTACAGTTAGCTTACCGTTATCTGTGCTATTTTTAACCTCCAGTTTGTCTTTGGAGAAAATCTAATAACCTGTACTTGCGAAGCGTAGTCTAGGACCATCATGAGAAAACATCACAGGTGAAATGAAGCTTTAGCTAGCAGGCAGCGCAATATCCACAATCTACTATGAATGGCTCCATGAAATGACCCTTAAAACGAGCAAATTTCAGCAAGACAAGAAAAAGGGTGTAAAGTGACCTATAATTCTATAATTCTTCATCTTTGTGGTATTTTGATTTAAAAAAAAAAAAAAAAAAACATACTTTGTCTCCTTTAGACTTTTCTTTGCAAGGTCACTCGTTATGTCCTCTGAGTAGCAATCCGGCGCGACAACGCTTACGATTTAGCACCATCACGTGCCCATTTGTCATTCGATGATAGACATATAATCGAATAAAACTGTTTTTACTGATTTGGATGACAATGTTACAGGTTACCATTGCGTCAGGTCAAATTACGAGTACAAAAATGACATTAGCGTGTGCGGTCCACGTCCTAACATGACGTCTATTGTTACCCAAGACTTGTACATCTTGTTATCCATCTTGGGACCCATTGATCAACGCCGCCATAATCAATAGAACCTTTTCATCGTCCTGTCCTTGAGAGGACCTTTCTACATATCCTCGGAAGATTAACATGCCTGATCAATGGGACAAACGCAAAAAAAAAAAAAAAATCCCCAATACAAGCTACGTTAATTTCTCACACTAAAAATGTTCAGGTGGTTTTCATATACACTATGAGCCATTCAATGTAATCAGATTTTGTTTTTTTTACCGAATTCAACTCTTAAGCTACCTTGTGTGTACCTTGTGTTTACCTTGGGAAGACATTTCTTAAGTATTACTTGAACATCAACATGGCTGATTAGTGGGACACATGGGAAAAAAAACAAAAAACTCCAACCAGTCTCTCACACTCCATGTGGAAATGACCACATTGATAGTTTGGATTTAAGCAGCTGTTGGTTGCACAAAAAAAGGTGTGGGGAGACAGGAAAGGGTCTGCTTAAATCCGTGCGCCCTTTTCCTGCTCTTGGGCCTCATTCAATTTGTCCGCTCGCCCACTCGCGTCTTTGTGCGAGTGAACCTCCTCGCCGCCTCCATGAGTGCTCCAACAGCTGCACTCTGACCCCTTTGGCTTCAGCTTGTCGCCATTGTGCTGACGAAAGCTATCTTCCAGCCTGTACAAGAGCAGAGCGGCGGCAAAATCATCAAATAAATGGAGAGATTCCGCCGTCGCATTTGGATAGGTTTGATCCGGATGAAACTGAACAGTCCGTAATGTTGTTACACGGTTGCCTTAACGACCATAACCACCCTACAACGCTGCCCTTTAACCAGAGTCTACATTTGTTATGGCTGTAATTACCACCGAGCTTTATTTAAGCCTTTATGAACAAGCCCGCCTTGAAAATGATCACACGTTTTATAACAGGCTACAAAAATGGGATCAGAGGACAGATTGGTATGAAAGACAGCAAGACAGGTGGGTGGACGGGTGGGCAGACAGATAGACAGCTCGATAGATAGATGGAAAGAATATTGCAAGAGCTATTCATGTCTAAACCACTGACAACAAAAGTGAGCACACCCCTAAGTGAAAATGTAGACCTTGTGCCTCAAACGTCTTGGCCAGCCCATCACTTTTACCCTCTGTGGAGCTGCGCTTCACCGAGGGAACCACGAATGCCAACATGTATTGGGACATACTTGAGCAGATTATGATCCCGTCCAAATGGAAACTGGGCCGCCGGTGGGTCTTCCCACACGTTCATGACCCCAAACACACTCCCAAGACCACCACTGCCTCGCTAAAGAAGCTGAAGATAAAGGTGACGATTGGCCATGCATGTCTCCAATTTCACACTTTGAAGGGTGGGCAGGCGCACCAGAGACCAGCCTATTTCCATACAAGCAATTAAAAAGTACATTTTCCACACAATATGTCCCCTCTATGTGGATGGCACATCCAATGACTGTAACGATTGGAAGTTTACAATTAGTTCTTGAAGAAATGGCATCCAGACTGACTCATGTGGCCGTGCTGTTATTGAACAGTAAACGGCATCCCTCCCCCCCGCCCCCCGTCCCCAATGCGTAATTCTGTGCAAAAACAGTCACAAATGAAACAAAAAGTTCTTGCAGACGCCCAAAAGCTTGTGTGTGTGTGTGTGTGTGTGTGTGTGTGTGTGTGTGTGTGTGTGTGTGTGTGTGTGTGTGTGTGTGTGTGTGTGTGTGTGTGAGCAAGACGTGTGTGTGTGTGTGCGTGTGTGCTGTTGACTTATTTTCTCAATTTTAAAAGCACCGGGAAAAAAAAAAAATCCCAGACGCATTGCATCAAATGGAAGCTGGCATTGATTGTGGGCTTTGAAAATGGCTTTAGTTCTTATCTTTAATGGTGCACATGGTCATTTGAACCTTGACACGTGTGTGTGCGTGTGTGTGTGTGTGTGTGTGTGTGTGTGTGTGTATATATATACGCTCATACATCTTTGGCGTATAAGTGAGAATACACAGGTGGACACACTTCAAGAAAAGAAGTGCGATGAATCCCCACTCCTGCCTTTTGTGGCTTTGTTAATTTGAATAACACGCTTTCTCTTCAATGATTCATCCAATTAATATCCAGATAATTACGGAAACATGCGTCGAGGCTGTAAGCTCCCTCACAATGAGCTCACTAAAGTGCCCCGGGTTCTCCAGTGGAAGCGTGCCAGTGGCGCTGGTAGGCTGGCTGCGGCATGCCACGCGGTACCAGCCAGTGCCACGGGACTCAAGTCTGTCTGCGACGACGCTTCTGACGTGGCGCTAAACCAGCCCAACTGGCACATTTAAGAACAAACAACAACAGCTTTTCTTGTTCTTCTAAGCAAACTCGTTTCGAAGTCGAATGAGGCAGAACAGTCGCAGGCCAGAACATGATGGAGATACCGTCTAACTAAACACATACACTCAATTGAATTGATCGATTTTGTTTGTATTGGAAATGGGATGGCAGTTACATTGCCATTTAACAAACACGAATATTTTACAAAGAAAGCGGGTCACATTTTGCCGCACTGTTTTCAGCATTTTTGAAGGCCTAATAAATTGACAACCAAAGCTGATATTGACCGTATGTCACTGAGCAGCAAATGATTGTGAATGGTTGCAAACGTAGCAAAATTTGGGGTTTTGGTCACGGTTCGTAAAAGGTCGAAAAGATGTTACAGTTTTTCTTGTTGCCCACGCCCATAGTCAATCTTCAACTCAATCCGCTGCGTCAAAATAATTGACCCAACCTCGGGTAAAAGTAAATCCATCCATCCATCCATTTTCTCATCCCGTTTATGCTCACGAGGGATGCGGGTGTGCTGGAGCCTATCTCAGCTGTCTTCGGACACCCTGAAGTGGTTGCCAGTCAATCACAGGGCACACAGTGACAGACAACCATCCGTGCTCACACTCCCACCTAGGGACAATTTAGAATGTTCCATTAACCTGCCATGCACGTTTCTGGAACGTGTGAGGAAACTGGAATACCCGGAGAAAACCCACGCGGGCACGGGGAGAACATGCAAACTCCACAAAGTAAGGCCGGAGCCGAAATCGAACCCTGCACCTTTGCACTTTGCCTAATCAATCTGCTCCAAACCCACAGAGAGCGAATAGCTTAAGAAACATGCAAGCCGACGTGCTAACCGGTGGACCACCATGCCGCCTAATCAACCAATCAAACCCACAGAGAGCGAATAGCTTAAGAAACATGCTTTTTTTCCAAATAGATTTTGTAGTAGTAATGTCAAGTTTATGTAGGTGAACCAGCTCTCCAGAAGAGAATCCCAAATAGATTGTGTAGTAATGTGAAGTTTATGTAGGTGAACCAGCTCTCCAGAAGAGAAAACTACCACATGGTCCTTGAGCAGGTGGGAGCGAGCGGTGCCTCGCACAGGCTCGAGAGTCTCGAGGAGCGGGAGATGGCGGGCTGGGAGACTTCTATCCATCATGTTACATTTGACACCTAGCCGCCGACTGGATGACAGGGTTGAGGAAGGCCAAATATGTTTTCAAGTTAAGCCGGTTTCATTTATGGCCCTGTGGAATGATTTATCCAGGCCTGGTAGGCATGCTCCCTCTCCAACTTCCAGGGGAATCTGGTGGAGTATTAATATGGCAAATTTCCTGGCTTCGAAAGTCGTATCAGAAACCCCGCCGCCTATGAAAAGCTGGCAGCCCCACTTGCTGCTCTGTGTGCAAGTTACAAAGTCAAAAAGGGGCAGATGAGGTCGACCCGGTTATTCTCTGGCTTGGGAGATCGAATCAGAAGCCCCTTTCAAGTCAAAGTTGGCTTTTCCCCTCCATATATATCACTGTGAAAACCTCCTGGCTGAGACTCAGGACGCTAGTTGACCCGGTCATTTCCGGGCTTGTGAGGTAGTATCAAATGCCCCTTTCATACGAGTTGACAACGTTCCCATGTTGTCAGCCTGCGGGAATGATACCAACACGAAAGCACTGGGCTGGCTAGTATCAGAGCCTTTTTTTTACACAGCCCATCATTTCGCATAAAAACCAACATGGAGGATCAAGTTAACCTTGTAAATGCCTCAAAAAAATCTTTCTGGTTGATCCAAAGGCCTGACAATGGCTGGATGAACGCGAAAAGCAGAGAGCCAGTACACCTCAGGCCTCTCGTTATGTGAATCCGTGTCAGTTGTGTTGAAGGTCGCGGTAATATTTGCTGGATTCTGATTGACAGGTGAATCTGGATGCCTGCGTGAAAGAGGCGCCAGTTGTTAACGGTCATCTTGGCTGATTTAGTAGCGGCTCTCCACGGGTCTGTTGCAATAGCGGTGAGGATGGTGTTTTGAGGTTTGAGATTCAAATCTGCTTCCTTCCTGTTTGGAGTTTGTATGCGAGTGTGTCTGCCAAGGTTTTTGTCGTATTATTTTCTTGGTAAAAGCATTTTAATTGCTGTTTTCTTTAAAAATCTTCAGACGGTATGATAACTTGTTATTGAGATCGCGATGAGTAAGCTTAAGCCTCGAGGGTTGTATGGCAGCAGTCAACTCAACCACAACGAATGTCGGTGCCGTACTGATGAGCTCGGAAAGGAGTTGAGACGGTGTTATTAATGCCCCTGGAGTTCTAGGCAGGATATATTTTGTTGCACTATGATTCGCTGATACAAAGGCTGCGTAGGACCCCAGTGAGATTCATCACATTTCATCCAGCCATCCATCCATCCATCCTTCATCCGAAGGGCTTTATCCTCACGAGGGTCGCAATGAATAGTATATCTGTGTGTCCGTCTTATAATGCTCCCAAGTGGCCAAGGCGAGCACATCAGAAGGAGAGCCATTTAACTGGTGCAATGTGGAAAAAAGTTGGTTTTTTTTCCGTTAAATTTTTAAGATCACTGCATGCTTTTATAAAGCGCTATTTTTCCTCATTAATATACACACACGACGTTTTTGAAGCTTGTTACTGTATGTTTACTTGCTTTAGGAAATTTCCTCAAGTCGGGAATATTTTGCTTCCATGAAATAATAAAGTCCACATTTCATCACAGTTTTTTGTTTTTTTTT